TTTTTTTTTTTTTTTTTTTTTTTTTTTTTTTTTTTTTTTTTTTTTTTTTTTGAATGGAGATAAACTTATAATTTTGTGAGTTTAAGACTGAAAATCCTGAATCAGAAATTAAGCAATGATTAAATCATTATTTAAATTTTTCCTTCTGCAATTTCGATGTCATACTCATAACTTTTAAAGTTCCCTCATTCATTCTTCACTCAAACCCATACAATTGAGGTCAACTTTTAGCTTTTGTATGCCGGAATTCAACCAAAATAACTTTGTTTCATACCCTGAACCCATTGTTTCGATTGTTGTTTTGGTTATCTCATAATTTGCCCTTATTTAAGCATTTTGTGAGATTAAGAAATTATTGTGTAACATAAAAGAAAATTTCATGCTCAGTCGATTGCAGAAATTTAAAAAGTTTTCGCGCACTTGACATCTGTCCAGGCCACAGGCAGGATACGCGTGCTGCCTAATCCTGCAGCAAACAGAAATAAACAGCCATGAGCAGAGGAGAGACGCTGGACGTCTAGAAGGATGTGGCGCAACGACAGCTCCGATTAGCAATGACCATGATAGGTCACGCCCTTGCCCCGCCCCACACCTACTGTGCCATCTGCTCTCATTCCAGCTCAAGGACTTTGCGCACACATTTTGCAGCTTAAGTGTTTCACAATTAACTGAAAGCTGCTTGACCATAACTGTAAATGACACTCGAAGCTTAAGACCAGCTGCAGCGCAGCTAACTAGAGAGCGGTCTAACAATAGATTCACATAAATAGCATTAGCGCTGATGGAACTCTCAAATGGTTAGAGTCATAATATTTAATTTTATTTGCTTTGCTGTTCATCTTTGACAGCAGCTGTCAAATTGTCTGACAAACAGTTAACAATCAGTCTGCAGACAGCAGCAGACACACACACACACACACACACACACACACACACACACACACACATAGGTGCTAAAGAGTTAATGGCGATGTATATAAGTGTGTAATGTTCATTAAGTCTTGCTTTCATGTGGAAGAAAGGTTTTTGAACTTAGAAGATTTTAACATTAAACATTCATTAGAAATACAAACGAATATGATAGCTGAAGTCGGAATCCTGTCATAACTGCCTTTTCAAGCATGCTGCATACCTTTCATATATTTCTATATTGCTTT